CGGTCCGCTCGGGCCCGCCGGCGGGCCGGGGTGCGGCGGCCGGGGTCGGGGAGCAGCGGATCCTGGGCGAGAGGTTCGTGCCCGGGCTGGAGCGCCGCCCCCTTGCGGCCCTGGCCGGGGTGCGCGGATCGCACGTTACCGGCGGGCACCGGCCGGGCTCCGGCGCTCGGGGAGGCTGGAGCAGAGCGCGGCCGCTGCCGCCTGCCCTGCCCGGCTCCGATCGGGGCTGGCCGGGCYCTCTCCGGTGCGGCCTGGGGTGCCCGTGCCGTGCAGGGGGCGGCGCAGGCTTTGCTGCGGGGTGACCGCGGCGTCACAGGTCGTGCGGAGCCACCCTGCTCCTGCCGCCCTGGGAGGTCTTTGGGTATTGGGCTTCTCTTGTTCAGTTTCACACGTGCTCACAGCAGCCTTTCAGAAGTTTGGAAACAGCGATTTGAGCTAATTTGCAACAGCTACTTTCCCCACTTGATGTCACCTTAACATAGCTTTCTGTTTACTTCCTTGTTTATGTCTGGATATAATTTAATAAGTGGGCTGTAATCAAGTATCTTGAAGATGAAGAAAGGAAATACGGTTCAGTACAGAAGCTGCTAATTTGTAAAAGCAAAGGATGACGCGGAAAACCTCATTATAGGCAATGCATTAAAACKGTAGGCACATAGTGCAGTGCTGAATAAAATCTAAACCCTGCTTAGTCTGGGGGTATATGTGCATTTTGCCATTGCAAATAGGAATCTGGAAGGCCCCTCCAATCTTGTGATCCAGTCTCAAGCGTCCAGCATGTGTGTGTCCTGTTTATTAATGATTGTCTGCGGGGATGATAAACCTATCCTAATGATGATGTGTTAGAAGAAATTCGTCATAGGATAGTCATGCCTTGCTGTGCTTGRGTTATGCTTCCTGTTTGGGTCTTTGTTGCACCACTTCCACTTCAGGGTGAAAGCACCTTCATAAGCCAACACACGGGGACCGTGGCACAAAGGCCAGTTGTGGCACCAAGAAGTTGTCCAGCTGCCCAGGTATTTAGAACTGCAAACTCACTGCTGCCCTKTGGTTTGCGGCTCCCACGGTCAGTCAGGTGAGAGGCAGGACACATGCGTTCCAGTTGGAGCAGGCCCTCTGCTGGATTTCTGGGAAGGAAACCAGCTCGGAGCAGCATTTACCGTCCGTGACAGACATGCAGCCCTCCCACCCAAATGGTTCTTTCTTAGGAGAGACGTTGCCAGATGTATCAGGAAATCCGGGAATCAGTCTTCATGACTAGAGCAGAGATGGGACTCCCTAGAACTTGAAGGCTGAATGTTGATGGAAGTACTTAGAGTTAATTGCAGTTAAACATTCTTATTTTCTGTGTGTGTATGTACACATACATATGTGTATATATATTKCTACACATGCATATGTCTGCACTGCATAGATGTAATGCTAGAGCAATCTGCTGTAAGCAGTACTTCATCATTTCATTTTTGGGCTTTGTCTAGATGCAGTAGCATGCTCTGTTTGCTAAAAAGTGCTTGGGTTACTGCAAATAATCTTTTAGAAGTGGTTTTCTTCTATCCAATATGCTCTAACATAAAAATCTCATTGAATTTCATAGGCAATCATTCATATTGCTTATTCYATTAACATAAATCATTGCAGCTCCTATACACTATTAGATCATGTTTTGTGCATATATGGCTTTCTCAGCTTCCTGGCTCATTTACAGTTATAGTAAAACACATGAGACCTTATTAGTGAAACTTGAAAATGCTTAACTGTTTTAGTTAGGAAACTAAAACTTACTGTTTACTTCATGCTGATTCTGTGATCATGTTATACTTCTGCCATAGGAATTTTTAGCCAATGGCATAGTTTGTGTAGACTCTAAAATCCTTTGTCAATGAATACATTCAATTTTTTTTAATGTTACAGCTTCCAAAACTTATCATTTATAGTTTATTTATAGTTTCTGTGGAAGATAATGTGCTGTTTCCTAGCCTTTGTTAGATTATGATCTCTCCAATATTTTTTTCTGAATTTTAATGATCTTACTCTTTGCCTAGGTCTTTCAGTGAAAGGACACATATTCTTGCTTCATGTTTGCTCTTCATAATTAAGACACAAGCTAAAATGTAGATTAGCTTCCAGATTTTGAACGACTTTTTTTGTGTGGTATGTCTGAGCAATCTGTGTCTTTCTATTTTTATACTGTTTGCATAAATAGTGATTGCTGCTGCTTCACTGTGTGCATCATCTTTAAAGATAATTAGCTTTACGGTTGCCATTCAATGGCTTTTCAGCTCATGCTGCAGATCAGAGAACAGAGTGGACAGGGCAATCAAGATCAAGCAGCTGAAGTAATGAATATAATTTCATCTCTATAGTCTCCTTGTCACGCCATCTTCAGAATATTTTTTGCTTTAGGATTCTTCATTTACAGACTTGTGCTCTGATAATATTTAATGTTAATTTTCTCTTTCAAAAAATACTCAGTCCTAATATCCTAGCTGGATGCTATTCATTAATATTCTGAGAAATCAAATTGCACTTTAGGTATCTGCATCTTTGACACTTTGTGATTGTAGTTTCTGAAGTTCTGATGCAGAATAGAACCATTGGTATCCATATCCCAGGTGTGTCATTTGGAATGTGTGACTTAGGCTAGTCTTATTTCCCTGATTGCCACATTTGTGGAGAAATTCAGAGTCTGTAGAATTTGGTCTCATGCTAATACTTGTAGAAGTTACCCGTTTYTGAATCTGTTGATTTTGGTATTTCAAGGAAAAAATAATGTTTGCCCAGTTCTTGTGCTCTCTCAAAGTGCTGCAGTCTCCCTCTCTAACATACAAATGTTTACATGTATGTATATGGTAAAGGGGTGGGAATTAGCTTTATGCCCATGTGTAAAAACTTTCCATTGTTAAACAATCAAGATATGTTTCATTGCCTCTTTAGGTCATTAACCTGTGCCTGTTTTTCTAATCTCCTTTGTCTGAATGGCTGTGTCCTGCTTTATCTCTAGCTTTCACCCTGATGAGTACACAACTGGAGTACAAGATCAGTATCTCTCCCTTACTGGTTTTATTTTCTTGCGGCACTGAACAGTAAGTGAGCCAGAGGCATTTGTCCTGCAGGTCACATTCCTTTAGCCACTTTGCAGTTTTCTCAGTTTCCTCAGAGATGCAAATATTTCGTGTGATGTCCTCAACACGGCACTCTTGATGAGGCTTCCCTTTGTATTGTTTCTCTGAGCTGCTTCTGTGGCTTTGTAGTGGCAGCAGCTTTTACTGTGGGTTTATTTTCCCTCTCAGAATTGTTGCATTTGAATAATTATACTGCCCATTGTAAAACCTAGATAGTCCTGTGAAAATACTAGTTGGACTGAGGATAGTGAGGAGCTGGTAGAGGTTTCTGCTGCTTTACCCTGTGTACAACTGAGGAGTATGGTGGTGTCTCTCTGCAGAGAGAAGACTGTTTATGAGAGATGTAAAAAGTTACCAAATCTCCGTGCCATACATAAATAAGAGCTTAGTCTTTGGTGTTACAGATGTAGGAAAGAAACGTAACTATGATGAACAAAAGGAAAAAAAGTGGGGAGAMAATGAAAACTAGGATAGGATAAATAGAAACAAAAATGGAATCCCCACAGACAAACTTTTTCTGTGGTGTGTTGATTCTCCACCTTCTCCTACTATATCCCATTCCTGTGTTAAGACGTTGAGCTCGTAGTTTTACCTCCAGCTGAGGAGAACTGGGCATGATTCCAGTGTAAGCTGTCGTCAGGCTTTTTTCCCTCTTCACGCCTCTCTCTGAATTAAAGTGTACATGCATCCTTAGAGTAAGTTCTGCAGAAAGTGGTTGACCTTTAGGATTAGTGTTGCTGCAAAGACAGCCTTATTTATTACTTTAACTGAGTTGGTGTTTTCTAACTCACACACTGAATGCATGAAATGTTATTAAGAAACTTCTATAGAAGAGATAAATTGATTTATAGTAAAGCAAGTTATGTTGCCTTAAGTAAAGCTTTATGTATTTGGAATTGAGAGAACACCGAAGATGTTCTCACTCCAGAGATTTCTGACTAACTTTCCTTAGTAATTATGTGAATGTAAGTGYATGCAGAATTCTATTCATTTTTTCTTTGTATGAATGTTTTTCTTTTTGTATTGAGAGTCTTAGAAATTCCGAATCTTTATGTGTGGTGGAAGAAGACATTACTGTTTTAAGGCAGCTGCTTAGCAACACTGCTTGGCTGTTTCACAATCAGCCAGCTCTTCCCACACACTGCACTGAAATGTACGTCATTTCACGGTGACTTGCATTCCAGCTTTTCTTTTGAGTTAGTCTTAGATCTTAAAGAAAATTAAATAATAAGAGTTGGAAAAAAGTACAGGAACCTTTAGTGTCTTAACTTTTTTTTTTTTTTTTTTTTTTTTTTTTTTTTTTTTTTTTTTTTTTTTTAAGATGATTAATGCTTTAATATCCTTTTGCAATAACCATGTTCCAGAAGTTCTGGCTAGAAAAACCTGGGTGAAACCCAAGAGCTAATTCATACCACTTGGGGAAACCCCCTTAAAGATCCCCTCAGTTGGGTCCCAGCATTTGATGTGTAGCTGGGTCATATTCCCATTTGCATCTCCAGACTTTCAGTATCAGCAAAGGTTGCATTTAGTAAGAATGAATGCTGAAGGAGATAACCAGTGAAAGAACTAAAAAAGCTATCTGTTTACATGAACAGGTAAACAGGAATCAGAGGAAGTAAATACAGGAATCTGAACTTCCAAGTTTGAGATTGAGATTACCAAACCACTTTACCT